CGTGTCTGAAACTCGACCAACAACCAATCACATTAATCTCCCGCCCCGGACACACAAGCACGCGGTTTGATTGGCTAGAGCTTGTACTGGCATATGATTTGATTGGCTGACGCTTCCGTCGAAGCTTCAACACTTGAACATTGCTCAACTTTTGAAGCGAGCAACGCGAAACGACGCTCCCACAATGCAGTTCGGCAAAGCGTGACGTCACCCCATTCAAAGTGAATGGGCAGAAGCGTTGAAGCGTCAACGCACGCCGCCGTGTGGACGGGCCGTTAGAGGAGAAGGAAAACCCCAAAAAAGCATACTAGGGCATGTTTCATGTTTATCGCACTCTTCTCACTAAGAACCAGAAGACTCTTTAAAAAGTGACTCCGTAAAAGATAGAAATCATGGATGCACATTATATATATTGGAACTAATTAAGAAATGTATTATTATATTTCCGGTAATACAAAACACCTCAGAAGATATATTTGTTTCTCCCATCAGTTCCACTTTACAGGAAGACTCAGATGAAAGCTAAGCGGTTATTGAACAGATACAAATCATAAAGAAGCAGCTGATTGAAACCCCGGAAGCTTTTCAATAAAGATGTCGAGGTCTTGTTGTTAATGTGCTCTGCGGAGTGGAGACATCATGTGGGTGTCAACTGATGATTACTGTACATGTGTCTCGGAGTCTCTCGTGTGTGTGTGTGTGTGTGTGTGTGTGTGTGTGTGTGTGTGTGTGTGTGTGTGTGTGTGTGTGTGTGTGTGTGTGTGTGTGTGTGTGTTTGTGCAATTTTGATAGCGACAGCAAACAAATGGCAACACAGATGCTCTGACATCTGCACACGTCATAATCGAGTAATCTCACAAAAAGCTCTTTATGTTTCTCATACTGTCTGTGCTGCAGCACCTCTTTTCACCCTCTGTCTGAAACCAGAGCCCAGTCTGCTCTGATTGGTTAGCTGGCCGGCTCTGTTGTGATTGGTCAACAGCTTAGAGATGTCCCGCCCACACAGGGATTTTAAGCCTTTGCAGTATAGTATTCGTTGTATTTGTCCCTGAGGGTAAAATGGGTTGCAGCACATCACAAAGGCATTTCAAAGACAATACGTCACTGACAACAACACAGACACAGATTAAAACAAACAGACATAAGAAAACCAGATATCGGCAGACATGACAAGCGGCCTATAGGCTCTCATTTGCGAAATAGGGGGGACAGGGCCAGACCAGCTGGGTAAACAGTGCGTCCTAGCCATCATTTATTTAGGAGTTTGATGGCTTGTGGGACGAAAGACAGCCGAGATCTGTTCTTTTTGAACAGAGGGGGCGATATCTCCGCCCGGATGGCAACAGTTCAAAGTAAGAGGTCACTCACAATATTGCCTTTTCCGACCATTTACATGCACCAAAGCCTATATCACACTCTACAGGAGAGGGAACGCCCCAAAAGAAGAATAGGGCCACTTTCAATATGAAGCTTGAACCAGTCGAGGCTTAGCTTAGCTTAGCACGAAGACTGGAAACAATGGCAAACAGCTAACCTGGCAACACAATCCACCTGTCAGCTCGCTTTAAGGTCATTTAACAAGAAACAAATCACGCCTTGTGGATTTATCCGAGATCACGGGATGACTCTGCTCTTGTCCTGGAGCAATGATGTCAACATGTAAGATGGTTACTGAATGACGGCCCCTACACACGGCGGCGTGCGTTACCGCTTGGCGGTGGGCGTGTCTGAAGCTTGGGGATTTTTTACGAACAACGCGACCAACAACCAATCACATGAATGTCCCGCCCCGGACATACAAAGCAAAGCATTCATGCTACATCGATGCTGGCTAAATATACTGTCTATGCTTGCTAGCTGTCCATTCAAACGAAGTACACTGGATATAAACTCCCCAAACAGGCGAACACCTACCAGTGTCACCCACTGTCTCTGCCACCTCCCCCCATGCCTGGCTCCTCCGGTTTGTATCCCTGTATGTAAAGAGGGACTGGTCATATAGTACCGCCACGATCTTTTTCTCCTCCATTTTTTGACATATGGAAAATAACTGCGGTCTGGCTCTCCCAACATACACGCGGTTTGATTGGCTAGCGCTTGTAATGTCAGATTTGCATACGCGGGATTTGATTGGCTGACGCCTCCGTCGAGGCGGCAAAAGTAGAACATTGCTCTACTTTTACAGCGAGCACCGCGAGAGAAGCTACGCTTTGCTCCCACAATGCAGTTCGGCGAATCGTGACGTCACCCCATTCAAATTGAATGGGCAGAAGCGTTGAAGAGGCAACGCACGCCGCCGTGTGTAGGGGCCGTTAAACCCCTTAAAACAAACAACATTCAACACTACTGCTTCCTAACTGGACAGGTTGATGCCGCAGATGTTTAATAAACTGGGTGTTATACTGTGATTGGGTGCAGACTCAGAGTAGTGGAGTACAAATACTTTGTTTCTGTACTTAAGTACATGCTTCTGGTGTCAGTACTTTACTCCACTACTTATCTTTCTGACAACTTTTTACTTTGACTTCTTACATGTTGAACTCAAATACCTGTACTTTCTACTTCTTACATGTTGAAAACAAATACCTGTACTTTCTACTTCTTACATGTTGAACTCAAATACCTGTACTTTCTACTTCTTACATGTTGAACTCAAATACCTGAACTTTCTACTTCTTACATGTTGAACTCAAATACCTGTACTTTCTACTTCTTACATGTTGAACCCAAATACCTGAACTTTCTACTTCTTACATGTTGAACTCAAATACCTGTACTTTCTACTTCTTACATGTTGAACTCAAATACCTGTACTTTCTACTTCTTACATGTTGAAAACAAATACCTGTACTTTCTACTTCTTACATGTTGAACTCAAATACCTGTACTTTCTACTTCTTACATGTTGAACTCAAATACCTGTACTTTCTACTTCTTACATGTTGAACTCAAATACCTGTACTTTCTACTTCTTACATGTTGAACTCAAATACCTGTACTTTCTACTTCTCACATGTTGAACTCAAATACCTGTACTTTCTACTTCTTACATGTTGAACACAAATACCTGTACTTTCTACTTCTTACATGTTGAACTCAAATACCTGTACTTTCTACTTCTCACATGTTGAACACAAATACCTGTACTTTCTACTTCTCACATGTTGAACACAAATACCTGTACTTTCTACTTCTTACATGTTGAACCAAATACCTGTACTTTCTACTTCTCACATGTTGAACTCAAATACCTGTACTTTCTACTTCTTACATGTTGAAACCCAAATACCTGTACTTTTCTACTTCTCACATGTTGAACACAAATACCTGTACTTTCTACTTCTTACATGTTGAACTCAAATACCTACTTCTACTTCTTACCTTTGACTGAATACCTGTACTTTACTTAATGTTTACAAATACCTTTTGAACTCAAATACCTGTACTTTCTACTTCTTACATGTTGAACTAAATACCTGTACTTTCTACTTCTTACATGTTGAACACAAATACCTGTACTTTCTACTTCTCACATGTTGAACTCAAATACCTGTACTTTCTACTTCTTACATGTTGAACACAAATACCTGAACTTTCTACTTCTTACATGTTGAACACAAATACCTGTACTTTCTACTTCTTACATGTTGAACAAATACCTGTACTTTCTACTTCTTACATGTTGAACACAAATACCTGTACTTTCTACTTCTTACATGTTGAACAAATACCTGTACTTTCTACTTCTTACATGTTGAACTCAAATACCTGTACTTTCTACTTCTTACATGTTGACACAAATACCTGTACTTTCTACTTCTTACATGTTGAACACAAATACCTGAACTTTCTACTTCTTACATGTTGAACACAAATACCTGAACTTTCTACTTCTTACATGTTGAACACAAATACCTGTACTTTCTACTTCTTACATGTTGAACTCAAATACCTGTACTTTCTACTTCTTACATGTTGAACACAAATACCTGTACTTTCTACTTCTTACATGTTGAACTCAAATACCTGAACTTTCTACTTCTTACATGTTGAACACAAATACCTGTACTTTCTACTTCTTACATGTTGAACACAAATACCTGTACTTTCTACTTCTTACATGTTGAACACAAATACCTGAACTTTCTACTTCTTAAATGTTGAACACAAATACCTGAACTTTCTACTTCTCACATGTTGAACACAAATACCTGTACTTTCTACTTCTTACATGTTGAACTCAAATACCTGTACTTTCTACTTCTTACATGTTGAACACAAATACCTGTACTTTCTACTTCTTACATGTTGAACTCAAATACCTGAACTTTCTACTTCTCACATGTTGAACACAAATACCTGTACTTTCTACTTCTTACATGTTGAAACTCAAATACCTGTACTTTCTACTTCTTACATGTTGAACACAAATACCTGTACTTTCTACTTCTTACATGTTGAACTCAAATACCTGAACTTTCTACTTCTCACATGTTGAACACAAATACCTGTACTTTCTACTTCTTACATGTTGAACTCAAATACCTGTACTTTCTACTTCTCTCATTTTCCAAACAGCTGGTTCCTTTAGTTTGAATGTGTGTTTGGTGCGTGATCATTATTCTTTAGAGTCATTGCGTGCCTATTGATTTGAACACGATCCGTGTATCCATCATTTCCTGGTCTTCTCTAAAGAAGAGGGACCAATGGAAACGTTGTCATGTTGCCGTTGTTCAGCATGGAAACATTCATTAGCTAACAATGACATTATTGTTCTATTAATATAAAGGGAGGTCAGGTACTCTTTAAAACAGCTGCTAGCTATGGGTACTTTTTACTGAAGTACATTTCAAAGCCTCTTTACTTTTACTTGAGTAAAGAAGTTTAGTCAGTACTTCGACTTTCACCAGAGTATTTTTGAACACGAGTATCTGTACTTCTACTTGAGTAAAGGATGTGTGTACTTTTGCCCTCTCTGATTGTGTATAACGCAGTCTCACCTCCTGTGGTTCATCTCGGCGTCTCCTCCGTTGTTCTTCCCCGGTCCCCAGCTGTGGCGTCGGAGCGGAGACAGAGAGCGGATACTGTTCCTCAGAATACTGGAGCGCAGCGGCACCTCCGTCACTCTGTCTTTGGCTTCTTCCTCAGCCTCTCCACCTCCTCCTGGAGCCCCAGATTTGATGCTCTCCTCTGGGCTCCAGCTGCACTCCAGGCCCTGGTTTCCCTCGAGGCTGGAGCTGGTTTCGTCGGTGGAGGAGCAGGAGATGGAGACGGAAACCTCGCTGGTGCTGTCTCCCCCCGTCACTGGGTCATCGCTCTGCAGGAACACAAGACATATACATGTTATTAGAGAGATGGAATAGAATTGGAAACCCTCTTTAATGGTCCTACATGCAGAGCACACAGTGACATGTGTTCTCTGCTTTTAACCCATCCTATAGTAGGAGCATCAACAGGAGAGGACTCTTTAAAGTAGAGACACTACATACTGATATACACCTGAACATCAGCAGGAGAGGACTCTTTAAAGTAGAGACACTACATACTGATATACACCTGAATATCAGCAGGAGAGGACTCTTTAAAGTAGAGACACTACATACTGATATACACCTGAACATCAGCAGGAGAGGACTCTTTAAAGTAGAGACACTACATACTGATATACACCTGAACATCAGCAGGAGAGGACTCTTTAAAGTAGAGACACTACATACTGATATACACCTGAATATCAGCAGGAGAGGACTCTTTAAAGTAGAGACACTACATACTGATATACACCTGAACATCAGCAGGAGAGGACTCTTTAAAGTAGAGACACTACATACTGATATACACCTGAACATCAGCAGGAGAGGACTCTTTAAAGTAGAGACACTACATACTGATATACACCTGAACATCAGCAGGAGAGGACTCTTTAAAGTAGAGACACTACATACTGATATACACCTGAACATCAGCAGGAGAGGACTCTTTAAAGTAGAGACAATACATACTGATATACACCTGAACATCAGCAGGAGAGGACTCTTTAAAGTAGAGACAACTACATACTGATATACACCTGAACATCAGCAGGAGAGGACTCTTTAAAGTAGAGACACTATATACTGATATACACCTGAACATCAGCAGGAGAGGACTCTTTAAAGAAGAGACACTAACATACTGATATACACCTGAACATCAGCAGGAGAAGGACTCTTTAAAGTAGAGACACTACATACTGATATAAACCTGAACATCAGCAGGAGAGGACTCTTTAAAGTAGAGACACTACATACTGATATACACCTGCACATCAGCAGGAGAGGACTCTTTAAAGTAGAGACACTACATACTGATATACACCTGAACATCAGCAGGAGAGGACTCTTTAAAGTAGAGACACTACATACTGATATACACCTGAACATCAGCAGAGAGGACTCTTAAAGTAGAGACACTACATACTGATATACACCTGAACATCAGCAGGAGAGGACTCTTTAAAGTAGAGACACTACATACTGATATACACCTGAACATCAGCAGGAGAGGAATCTTTAAAGTAGAGACACTACATACTGATATACACCTGAAAAATCAGCAGGAGAGGACTCTTTAAAGTAGAGACACTACATACTGATATACACCTGAACATCAGCAGGAGAGGACTCTTTAAAGTAGAGACACTACATACTGATATACACCTGAACATCAGCAAGGAGAGGACTCTTTAAAGTAGAGACACTACATACTGATATACACCTGAACATCAGCAGAGGAGAGGGACTCTTTAAAGTAGAGACACTACACACTGATATACACCTGAACATCAGCAGGAGAGGACTCTTTAAAGTAGAGACACTACATACTGATATACACCTGAACATCAGCAGGAGAGGACTCTTTAAAGTAGAGACACTACATACTGATATACACCTGAACATCAGCAGGAGAGGACTCTTTAAAGTAGAGACACTACATACTGATATACCACCTGAACTATCAGCAGGAGAGGACTCTTTAAAGTAGAGACACTACATACTGATATACACCTGAACATCAGCAGGAGAGGACTCTTTAAAGTAGAGACACTACATACTGATATACACCTGACATCAGCAGGAGAGGACTCTTTAAGTAGAGACACTACATACTGATATACACCTGAACATCAGCAGGAGAGGACTCTTTAAAGTAGAGACACTACATACTGATATACACCTGAACATCAGCAGGAGAGGACTCTTTAAAAGTAGAGACACTACACTACTGATATACACCTGAACATCAGAGGAGAGGACTCTTTAAATAGAGACACTACATACTGATATACACCTGAATCAGCAGGAGAGGACTCTTTAAAGTAGAGACACTACACACACTGATATACACCTGACATCAGCAGGAGAGGACTCTTTAAAGTAGAGACAACTATATACTGATATACACCTGAACATCAGCAGGAGAGGGACTCTTTAAAGTAGAGACACTACACACTGATATACACCTGATCATCAGCAGGAGAGGACTCTTTAAAGTAGAGACACTACACACTGATATACACCTGAACATCAGCAGGAGAGGACTCTTTAAAGTAGAGACACTATATACTGATATACACCTGAACATCAGCAGGAGAGGACTCTTTAAAGTAGAGACACTACACACTGATATACACCTGGACATCTTTAAACTATTCAATCACAAATGTGATATTTTAAAGTTCTATTTGATTTATTTATGAAAGATATTTGTGTCATCTTCAGGGTGACTAGAAGAAGAAGATGGTCCTCGTTTTAACAACATGAAACAACAGCGGAACAATCTAAATCATCCAGAGTGTTTTTTATCCGTCAGAAAAACATTTGTGTCTGAGAGTAAATGGATCAGTTGCTGACCAGCAGAGAAATAATTACCAGTAAACAGTCCTCTTTGTTCTTTTGCTTTATCGCATAGTTCATTTCTAATTAAACAAAGCTCAGTAAATGTGTCGGAGACAGTTATCATTCTAGTAAATGAAAATAAGAGTCAAGTGCAGCAGCTTGTTGAGACATTATTACATAGGCTATAATTAAAATAGCTGCTCTGGCATTTTGAAAACCACACTCACGATTTTGACTTTTAAAACAATTAAGTAGTAAAATTATAATGTTCTTAATAGTTTTAGTAAATTGCAATTCTTCTTGATTATATTTGGGAGCAAATACCCCCCCCCTGCAATCTGTTATTAAAGCTTTAATCTCTGATAGTGTGAAAGTGCAGAGACAGAAACAGTCTCTTATCAGTCCGCTGGAGACACAGAGGGTAACACTTATTTCCTTTTCCTCATTATCAAAGTCTCCACTATCTGTCTCTGTCAGGGGGAAATCAGCCCGATGCCAGCAGGGTTGGGAGGGTTACTTAAAAACATGTATTGTCCATGTGTCCAACAGAATTTGCTTCTCGGATCCGAAACATTGATCCAAGAAGCTAATTCTGTCGATTCCTTC